TGAGCCAAACTGGCCAGGGCTCTTTTATCGATCTTTTAAAAGCCAACTTTTGCCCTGGCCAGTGTGGCTCAGTGAATTGAGCGTTGTCCCATGGACTGAGAGGTCCCGGTTTGATTCCCAGTCAGGGCATATGCTGGGGTTGCAGGCTTGATCGTCAGTGGGGAGCGTGCAGGAGGCAGCTGATTGATGTTTCTCTCTCATCTTTCTTTCTTTCTTTTTTTTATCCTCACCGGAGGACATTTTTCCATTCTTTTGTTCAGATAGAGTGGGAGGGAGAGAGAGGAAGAAAGAGAGAGAAACATCAACGTGAAAGGGACACATTGAGTGGCTGCCACCCGCATGACCAACCAGGGCTGGGGAGAAACTGCAACCAAGGTATATGCCCTTAGCGGGATCCAAACCCGGGTCTCTCTGGACCACAAGCCGACTCTCTAACCGCTGAGCCAAACCGGCCAGGGCTGGCTGGCTGGCTGGCTGGCTGGCTGGCTGGCTGGCTGGCTGGCTTCCTTCCTTCCTTCCTTCCTTCCTTCCTTCCTTCCTTCCTTCCTTCCTTCCTTCCCTCCCTCCCTCCCTCCTTTCTCTCTCTCTCTCTCTTTCTTTTTATCCTGACCTGAGGACATTTCTGCATTTATCTTCAGATAGAGCAGGAGGGAGGGGGGGGAGAGAGAGAGAGACACATCGACTGGTTGCCACCCACACGGCCCCAACCGGGACCGGGGACAAACTGCAACCAAGGTACGTGCCCTCAGTGGGAACCGAACCCGGGACTCTCTGGTCTGCGGGCCAATGCTCCAACTGCTGAGCCAAACTGGCCAGGGTTCTCATCGATATTTCTATCTCTCTCTTCCTTTAAAAAAAATCAATAAAAATGTATTTAAAAAATAAATAAGTGAATAAAAGCCAACTTTTGGTTTCATTGATTTTCTATGTTCCTTTTCTATTCTCCATTTCATTGATCTCTGCTCTGATTTTTAGGATTTTGTAAATATATTCGTTTTTTGTTAATCACACATCAATAAAGCTGGAAACAATAAAGATATACTTTAAAAAATAATAAACTCGCCCTGGCCAGTTTGTCTCAACGGTTAGAGCATTCACCCGTGGACCAGTGAGTCACGGATTCGATTCCAGTCAAGGGCACGTACCTCGGTTGCGATTTGTCTCAGGCCCTGGTTGGGTTGTGCGGGAAGCAACCACTCAATGTGTCCCTTTCACATCGATGTTTCTCTCTCTCTCTCCCTCCTACTCTATCTGAACAAAAATGAAAAAATGTCCCCAGGTGAGGATAAAATAATAATAATAATAAACTCTTAGTCGAACAATTGCATCATCTGGGTCACCTCAGGGTTGACATCTATTGATTGTCTTTTCCTTTGGGAAATGGTCAGGATTTTTTTAAAGTGATGAGTAATTTTGGATTGTCTTCTGGGAATTTTGAATATTATGTTGTGAGACTCAGGATCCTGTTCATATCCTGAGGAGAACGTCGACTTATTTTGCTATTTGTTTCAGCAGGGTTAAGTTCGGTGGCAAGTTTTGTCCTGTCTTCTGTGGGTGTCGTTTCCAAAGCCTTCGCTATGTTTTTTTGGGTTAGCATGTGCCACCCTGGGGTTAGTCTGTGGCGTGGGCAGTGGTTTATGTCATTGTTCGGTTTTCAAGGCCTTGCTGTGCTTCTTTGCATTTGTTCCCTGCTTGCCTGACTCAGAGGTGACTCTCCAGCATGAGAGCAGGAAGTTGGTACTTTGCTACTCTCTTCGAGGCACAGGAGCTCTGCCGCCTTACCCTCTGGAAACAGGAGAGTCTCCTGGTGCTTTGCTTTGAGTGCATGTTCTACAGTTCCATGATTTGGCTATTCATGGATCAGAGAAGAGAGGAAGAGCTTTGGCCCACATGGCTTGGTGGTCAAAGCGTCACCCATACATGGGAAGGTTGGGGGTTGGATTCCTGGTTAAGGGGCACGTACCTGGGTTGCAGGTTCGATCCCAGGCCCCCGTCAGGGTGGGTTCAGGAGGCAACCAATAGATGTGTCTCTCTCACAATAATGTCTCTCTTTCTCTTTCCCTCCTTCCCTCCCTTCCACTCTCTCTAAAAATTAATGGAGTCCAGCCGGTGTGGCTCAGTGGTTGAGCTTCGACCCATGCACCAAGAGGTCGCTGGGTTCGCTTCCCAGTCAGGGCACATGCCCAGGTTTTGACCTCAATCCCCAGTTGGGGGTGCGTACAGCAATTCTCTCACATTGATGTTTTTTTCTCTCTAAAATTCAATATATATATGTGTGTGTGTATATATATGTGTGTGTGTATATATGTATGTATGTATGTATATGTATATGTGTGTATGTATATATGTGTATGTATGTATATATGTGTGTATATATGTGTGTGTGTATATATGTATGTGTGTGTGTATGTATATATGTATATGTGTGCATGTATATATGTGTGTGTATATGTATGTGTGTATGTGTATATATGTACGCATATGTATGTTTGTATGTATGTATGTATGTATGTGTGTGTGTGTGTATATATATTTTTTTTTAGGAGAGGAAGAGCCCTGGCTTGTTTAGCTCAGCGGTTACAGCATCAGCCAGCAGACCAATGAGTCTCAGGTTTGATTCCTTTCAAGGGCACGTACCTCACTTGCAGTTTGTCCTGGCCCTGGTCATGTCATGCGGGAGGCAACCAGTTGATGTGTCTCTCTCACATCGATGTTTCTCTCTCTCTCTTTCCCTTCCTCCTGCTCTATCTGATGATAGATGGAAAAGTATCCTCCAGTCAGAATTTTAAAAACAAGAGAGAGAGAAAAAATATGTGAAACTCATCCCCCATTATAAGTTATTATTCAAGTTTTAACTTAAATCCCCAGTCTGATCACTATTGTGTGCTTTTTGAAGTCCTCAGATTGCCTTTTGTATTCTATCATGAGATCTTAGCTGTAATCCGTGGGAGAGATTAGCTGTATGTTGTTGGCTTACTCTGCCTTGGCCAGCAACGGAAGACTAGTGACAGTCTCTTCATAATTTTTGGCACTTCATTCTTCTAAATAAATTGTAAAATCTTGTTAGCTTTCATGAAAAATTATGCTGAGATTTTGATTGGAATTTCAATGACTCTTTAAATCAGTTTGGGGGAGAAAGTCCATGTTTACAGTATTCAATATTTATATCCGTGAACATGGGATAATTTTGCATTATTTAGGTCTGTTTTAATGTTGTTTAGAGTTATTTCTTTTTTATATTTTAATCATTTTTAAAATTGTTGATACTATTACAGATATCCCCCCTCCCCCTCCTTGCTCCCCTCTGCCCAGCTCCTGCCCCACTCCAGGCCTTCACCACATTATTGTCTGTGTCCATGGAGGTTTCTTTCTTTCTTTTTTTTATCCTCACCCAAGGACATTTTTACATTTCTTGGTCAGATAGAGTGGGGGTAGGGGGGAGAGAGAGAGAGAGAGAAAGAAACATTGATGTGAAAGGAACACATCGAGTGGCTGCCTCCTGCACGACCCAACCAGGGCCAGGGATAAACTGCAACCAAGGTACCTGCCCTTAGCGGGAACCGAACCTGGGTCTCTCTGGACCACAGGCTGACGCTCTAACCGCTGAGCCAAACCAACCAGGGCAGAGGTTTATTTCTTGATGCCATATAGTTTTTGTTGTTATTGTCAGTGCTATGTTTCTTTTTACAAAATCCACTTTCTGTGTATTATCACTGTAGAGATATTTAGGGTTTTTTCAATATTTATTTTTTAGATAAATTTTTATTGAAGCATATATTAAAGTATACACAAATCATAATCATATCTAGATAAATAATCACAATGTGTGCATACCATCCTGGCTTCTGATACCATGCATTTGTTTTGCTTGTTCTTGAATTTCATATAAATGGAATTATATAGTATGTTCTCTTCTGGGCATGGATTCTTTCATTCAAAATTACATTTTTTTAGGTTCATCCAGATTGTTGTGCTTATCAGTAGTTCATGCTTTTATTGTTGTATACCCCCGATATACTATCACTTATCCATTCTACTGTTGAAGGATATTTGGGTTCTTTCCTAGTCATTTATTGAAAAGAATGTGCTTTTTCTACAGCTTTGCAGTGCCATCTTTGTTGTAAACCAGGTATCTGTCTATGCATGAATGTGTTTCTGAACTCTCCTAGTGGTATTCAAAGAATGTTCTGTGATAATGCAGATGTTCTATATCTGTCCTTCCAATCCATGTGTCCACTGAGCACTTGATATGTGGCTAGTATGATTGGGGAACTAAATTGTCAATATTATTTAATTTTAGTTAATTTAAATTTAAATGGCCATATGTGGCTAGTAGCTACCATATTGGCCAGTGCAGCGTATTGCTTCATTGATCTATTTGTGCCATAGATACCTATGCCAAAACCATAATCTCTTAATTATTGTAGCTTCATAATTAGTCTTTGTTCCCCATTGAGATTATATTAACCCGTCTAGGCCTTTTGTTTTTCATGTACGTTTTAGTTTCTGCCTGTCAATTTTTACAAAAATCCTGCTGTGATTTTAATATCAAATTGGGGACAATTGACATAGATATACTATTGAGACTTTCAGTTCATGGTCATGTTATATTCTTTCATTTATTTAGGGCTTCTTTATTTTCTCTTAATAATGTGCTAATAGTGTGTGTGTGTGTGTGTGTGTGTGTGTGTAAAGGTCTTGCTCATCTTTTATTAAAATTATTCCTAGGCATGTGTCTTTTGGTATTACTGTAGAAGGTATTGATTTTAAATTATTATTTTCTAGAAGCAGGCATATTCTTGGTACTTTTTCCAGGGTAGAGACTCCATGTTCTTATCCACATAAGGATAAAAGGGTTGGGGAAGCCTCAGGGGAATTTGTAAGATTAGTCTTGTCTTTCCTTAGCTCATACAACTAAAGTCTAAAGTTCTTGATGTCCTTAAGGTCAAGAAGGAAGGAGGCCCCATCCCTGCAGAAGCAAGAACTAGAGCCTACTCAGGATGACGAGCGTTAGTGAAAACATGGAGGTCCAGAATGAGGATTCCCAGATGTCAAAATGTTCAGATTCCACACCCGTGATTTCTACCACCTCAGCTTCCGAGGCTGCCACATCTGAGTTGTTTACTGGGGAAATGAGTGGAGAGGAACACACCTTTGACTGGTGTGATGAAGATAATGATAACACAATGGAGACCATAAACAAAAATGAGCCAGAGATTGAAGTCACCGATGACCGACCATTCTGGGCCAATAAAATTGAGTACCTCCTGGCCCAGATGGGCTACTCTGTTGGGCTGAGCACCATCTGGCGCTTTCCTTATCTGTGTTTTCACAACGGAGGTGGTAAGCCTGGGTACCAGGAATCTTGGACCCATGAAGGAGCAAGGAACCAGAGGCTTGTCCTGGCTACTCAGGGGCCACTGAGATGTGTAGGGGCTGAGGATTTGGTACCCTGAATGGGGCAGGAGCCAAGTATGTGAACACCTAGAATCTTGGGAGGGTGGGAGCAGGATATCTGAATACTTGGGTTCTTAAGGATGGGGGGGCTGGAAGTCTGGGTCAGGACTAGGAATAGAAACTAGGTATCTGGGTCTTCTAGAAACTGGGGGCTAAGGGACTAGGCACCTTGGACTGTGAGGGATGTGAAAATAGTTGAAGCCTGATGCCCTTGGCCCTGAGGGAAGTCTCTGGGAGGGAACATGTTTTGCCTGAACTTCCGAAAAAGCCCAGGCACTAAAAAACCAGACGGTCCTCAGAGCCTCTCCTGAATCCCCTGCACAGGGAGTTTTCTCATCATCTACATCATTATGCTGTTCTTTGTCGGGGTTCCTCTCCTCTTGCTGGAGATGGCAGCTGGTCAGAGGATCCATCAGGGCAGCATTGGTGTGTGGAAGGTCTTCAGTCCCTGGATTGGTGGTGTGGGGTATAGCAGCTTCATGGTGAGGAGCCCGGGGTTGCCCAGGCCTACCCTTTACACCCCACCCCCATCCCAACACTTGTCCCAGAATGGATTCCATGATTTCACTTCCATAGGTCAAGTTCCTTCAGTTTCCCAATCCTCTGTCAAATCCCCTCCCTTCTGCTGGCCTCCCTTTCTTTCCCTGCCTCCAGCACTCTTCATGGTCCCTAGGTGTGCTTCATCGTGGGCTTGTACTATAGTGTGCTCATCACTTGGAATCTCTACTATTTGATTCAGTCTTTCCAGTCTCCACTGCCTTGGGCATTGTGCCCCTTACTGAGGAACTCCAGTGATTTTGGTGAGAAGAGAGGGAAGAAAAGGACAAGTGGGAGGGCTGAGAAAAGGAAGGGGAATGAAGAAGAAGAGGATCATTGAGCGAATAGGGATGAGCAGGCGGTTGATGAAACGGGATTGGAAGGAGTGGGTGGAGGGGAAGAAGGGAAGGCACCTGGTTTTGCAGTGTCCTCCATGGCCAGTTCACCTCAGATCCTGAATGTACACGGACAACACCCACCGTATACTTCTGGTACCGGCATGTATTGAAGGCCACAGATGAAATTGAGATAGGTGGGCTGCCAGTCTTTCATCTCAGTCTCTCCCTCTGTGTGACCTGGTTCATCATCTGCATCTCCATAATCAAAGGGCTCAAGTCCACTGGGAAGGTGAGCTACCCTCTAACTTACTAATGTGATGGACTCCCTTCTACCTGAGACCCCTAATATTCTCCCAACCTGATGCCCGTAGGTCTCACTCCTCCTAGCCAACCTCTCACTCCTCCTAGCCAGAGTTTTGATTCCCAGTAGTTTGGTCCTACTAGCATTCCAGCTTTTGTCTCCACTGAACTCTCTTTTTGAATCATGTTTCCTACCCAGATGCTGTATGTCTCAGTCCTCCTTCCCTACATCATCCTTTTTTGTGTCTTTACCCGGAGTCTCATGCTGCAAGGAGCAGATTTTGGTCTCAAGAGTTTGTTGGCTACCGAGGTGAGGTGTCCCCCACCCTTTAGTCCCTTATTCCAATAGGGGTGTCAGGAACAGTCTGGTTATCAGTCTGGTAGAGGTGCTCCCGGCTCCCCCTTTCACTCCCTTCTCATCTTCCGTCTCCATCACAGTGTACCTCTCCCCTCTTTATATTCTAATTTTCATGGCACTTCTCCTCCTCAGGTGTCTGCCCTCTACTCTTTGGAAGTGTGGCGCCGGACAGGAAACCACCTCTTTTTGTCCATGGGCTCCGGCTTTGGCAGCTTCACTGCAATCAGTTCATACGCCCCTCGGTCCAACAACTGCATCATGGATGCTTTTGCTGTGGCCCTGCTCAACCTGGTTACCTCAGTGACTGCCTCGATGTTTGTATTTGCCATAATGGGCCACTTGGCCACACTGAACAATGAAAAATGTTACCTGAAGTGAGCCCAATCTTGCAATATGGAGAGCATTACAAAGACCTAAGTTTAGAAATAGCTCATAGAACTCCAGCCTAGGTCCCCATCCCTCAGGGATGTTGGCTCAGTCACTATGGGTCCCTTAAATTGGTGCATCCTAAACCTTAGAAACACTTGAATCTCTCTCTCTCTTTAAGAGCCGCCTTTCTAAACTAGGAAAACCCCAAAGTTGGATGTTTTCAAAAGTGTATTCACCCCATTCTTAACTGGAGACTGCCATGAAAAAATTAGGGGATACCTTCAGCTGAATCAGTAGACCCCCCCCCAAAGAGCCCACAGCACCAGAGCCCCCATAGCCTATTCCCTATTTTATTCTTGTGTGGCATTCATTTCAAAAATACTGATCAGACATTTATTTATTTATTTTAAATCTTCACCCAAGGAGATTTTCCTATTTATCTTCAAATAGATTGAGAGGAGAGAGAGAGAGAGAGAGAGAGAGAGAAACATTGATGTGAAAGAGACACATCAACTGGTTGCTTCCCGCATGACCTCGACCAGGGCTGGGGGCAAACTGCAACTGAGGTACGTGCCCTTGACCAGAATCAAACCCGCGACTCATTGGTCTGAGACCGATGTTCTAACCTGTGAGCAAAACTGACCAGGGCTTATCAGATATTTATAAAACATCTCTTATCTACCAATCCCTGTGTTGAGTTCTGGACAGAGCCCGTGGTGAATCAGACCATCATCCCTGCCCTCAGGGGAATCACAGATACTTTTGAAGAAGCAGATACTAAATAGATCATTACAAATTAGATGATAACTGATAGTAGGGATGATGAGGACACACAGAGGAGGGAGCTTCTAACTTCCTGGGGCAGTCACAAAAGGCTTCCTAGTGGAGGCAATGCTGAACTAAGCTTATCTCTTGACAAATAACCAGTGTTGGTATTATTTCAAATAGTTTTCACAGACCTATATATAAAAATATACCATTTAAAAACGTTGGATCATGCCCTGGCCAGTTTGGCTCAGCGGTTAGAGCATCGGCCTGCAGTCCAGAGAGACCTGGGTTCGGTTCCCACCAAGGGCGCGTACCTCGGTTGCAGTTTGTCCCCGCCCCGGTTGGGGTTGTGTGGGTGGCAGCCACTTGATGTGTCCCTTTCAGGTCGATGTTTCTCTCTCTCTGTTTCTTCCTCTCTTTCCCTCCCACTCTATCTGAACAAAAAATGAAAAAATGTCCTTGGGTGAGGATAAAAAGTAAACATTGGATCATATTATACTACTTTCTTTTTTTTTAATCAAGTTTTTTTCTAATATTTTTATTAATTTTTTTAGGTAGAGAGGAAGGAAGAGGGGGAGAGACATAGAAACATTGATGAAAGAGAAACATCGACTGGCTGCCTCCTGTACACCCCATACTCGGGATTGAGCCCCCAATCTGAGCATGTGACCTGACCGGGAATTGAACCCACGACCTCTCGGTGCATGGGATGATGCTCAGTCCACTGAGCCACACTGGCCGGGCATATTATACTACTCTCTGCAACTAGTTGATTTGACCTTATGAAAATAGATTTTGAACAGCTTTCCATGGCAGTAGATAGAGTTCAATGAGCTGAGTAAGGATTTGTAGGGATTTGCCACATGGAAAATGGGTGTGAGGATTGCACTGGGGTAGACTGAATGAGGTTGGAGTAGGATGGTTCTGGGCAGAGAGAACATCAAGTAGCAAAGATACTGAGACAAGAGAGTGTGTGGCAAGTTGAAGGTTTAATAGTTGAGTATAGAAGTGTCAAAGGTGAAGACACTCATGAGTCAAGAGGTTGGAGAAGCCAGCAGGTCAGGAGCGCTGAAGAGCTTCTATGTAATCCTGAGATTGTCTAGGAGGAGGTAAGGATCCTAAAACCCTTCGTGATACTGTAGGAAAGACCCCTCCAGGGGTCCACTTAAGTCAGAAATTTTCTGGCCGCACACAGACACCTTTGTGAAAGTGGATTGTGAATCAAGACTGCAGTTTCAGTACAGGCTTTACTTTGAACCAGATCAGAGGCTAAGCTAGTTACCTTTCTTCTCACCAGGATATAAGAGAGAAGTTATCTTATAGGCTCAAATGGTTTTATGTGATTCCACCCCTGCCCCCAGGAATGCTGAGACAGTGAAGAATCTGGTCACTACTGGTGTGCTGTCTTCTGACCTTCGGCTCCCAGAGAGTCTGTATCAGCACATGAGCTACAGCTACCCGACATGGTTTGGCAACCTCCCTGCAGGGGCCAAAAGCATGGTCCGACCCTATTTGTCCAATTGTGACTTAGCTGAACAATTCAAAGAGGTAGATAAGGGTTGGGGACTGAGCCCTAGAGTTCTCCTCACATCCCTCAGTACACTAGAAACGTCAGCTCTCCTTAGGTGTCTGTAGAGTAGGGAGCTACTCTCCACAGCATCCTGGACAACCAAGACAAGGTTGATAGTCTTTTTTTATGATCAGGCAGTTGTAGGCTCTGTAGCACCAAGCACTAGACTTCATACAAGCCCGTTCAGCCCAACCCAAAAGAGTTGCTAGATCTGCAGCTGTTGTAGGAAGAAGTCCTCATGTTTCAAGGCCAGAAGAGTATAATAATGTCTACTGACAGTGCTATAGATAGTTTCCCAGGGGGAGGGGACAAAAACAGAGTTAGGACTCTACAGACTGAGCTCTGACCCCTCCCCATTCCTCCCTTCACTTACAGGTTATGAAGGGGCCAGGCGTGGCCATTGTGGCATTTACCGATATTGTCTTTTCGTTTTCTGGATCCACCTTCTGGGCCATCATCATCTTCGTGTTTCTGGTGACCATGGGGCTGAGCACCATGCTAGGGATCATGCAGGGCATCATTACCGCTCTCCAGGACACCTTTCCTTCTTCTAGGAAACACACGAAGCTGCTCACAGGTACTCCGACCTATGACTCCACTCTTCCCTATGGCCATTGTTTAGCTTAACCCCACTGGGACTCCGACAGCCCAGCTTGAATTCTAACCTTGATCCGTGTCTGGTTATTTTCCCCTCCAGTGAGTGTCTGTGTGCCTATGTTCCTGGGCAGCCTCATTTTTGTGAAGCCCTCGGGCAGCTACTACGTGAACATGCTGGATGATCGCTGGGCATCTCTACCCCTCTTCTTCATTCTCATCTTGGAGAACATGTCCATGGCCTGGATCTATGGGGCCAGGAGGTGATGTTCCAAGCCCGGGATTTCCTTCCACGCACCCACACAGCCGGGGTCCCTAAGGAGCATGGGCCCCTCCTGCTCTCACCAGCAGGTCTCAGCCCAGGACTGTATGGACTGCTCCCAGCAGGATGGGAAGGAGAAAGGCATGGGCTGGTTTCTGGAGAACATACATGAAAAGTGGCAAAGTGGTGAACAGTCTACATCAAGTCCTAGGGTCTCCTGAGCCCTACTTTTATCCAGGAAAGCCTGGACATCTGAAACATGTAACCCCTTGTTTCTGAAAGTATGCTCTATGGACAAGCAGCATTCACACCGCCTGGAAGCTCATTAGAGATGCAGCCCCTCAGGCCCCACCCCAGACCCTCGCACCTGTAGCTGCATTTTAACAAAAACACCCTAAGTGATTCCCATGCACACTAACATTTGAGAAGCACCATGTCGTCCAAGGTGGCGTTTCCAGGTGATAGTGGTCCTTGGCATCAGTTCATTCATTCAGTCACTCATGCTCGAATACTTCTTAGGGCCTCCCATGTGCCAGTCAGGCCTTGTGGTGAGTACTGGAGATACTGGGATAAATTATATTTAGTTTCTTCTCTCAGAATCCAAAGAGCAAGACATCGAAGCAGATCCTTGGGTAGGGTGGTAAGCCCATGAGTAGGCAGCCAAGGGCACTGTAGAAACACAGGTGGTTAGCTGAAGAAGACTGAAGAGTTAAGCGAGGAGGGGTTGCCTCACCAGAATCTAGACAGATGAAGGGGAGTTTCTCCAGGGAGAGAGAGATGGACATTCTAGGCAGAAGGAACCTGACTTGAATATATAACAGGTTTAAGAAGGTATACCAAAGACAGCTGAATATATGGGCTTGAAGAAACTATATTTAGAAAGTTGGCTTTCATTCTGAAAGTGAAGGGGAACAGAATTTTTTTTTTTTTAATCCTGGGGCTGGGATATAAATTGGCCCGAGAAGCGATGAATTAGAGGTAAGAAGACTGGTTGGGGGATAATCAGGAAGGTCTAAGAAATGTTAAGGGCTCTCCCCATCCCCCCAAGGCTGGGTAAGGCCTGAACAACCCTTCCAAAGCCTTATAATCCTTCCTCCCAGGTTCCTTGCAGACTTGATTATCACCTTGGGTCACCCCATCTCCCCCATCTATCGCTGGCTGTGGTGCTTTGTATCTCCGTTTGTGCTGCTGATCCTGTTTGTAAGCACCATAATTAATCTACATCTGCATCCCATCACTTACCTGGCCTGGAACTCAAGCATTGTGAGCCCCCTGCCACAGATCCCAGACCCCACTGGGGAGTGGGGACAGACTCTTCAATCCACTCTTGCCTCCGGGACTCAGTCATCGTATTCCCTGGGAATTCAGCTCTCTCGTGTTTTGCCTTGGTTTCCCTCATACCCCCATCTTCTGCATCTCACTTCAGAGAACCCGGGCATTCTAAACTGTCCTTCCTTTTCTCCACAGTCAGATGAAATTACCCTAAGTTATCCATCATGGGCTAAAGTCTTGCTCGTATTGCTCATTGTCGTTACCATCTTGCCCATCCCTGCCTACTTCCTGTACACCCTCTTGAAAGTGAGTTTCCCAGCCTCCAAGAAGAACAGCAGTGCCACAGTTATCTTTAAACACGAAGCTAAAGTGGAGAAACCGATACCCCGTCCACGGCTTCATGTGGGACAAAACCAAAAGAAGATGAATAAAAATAGATAACCAGAGAAAAAACTTTCTGCCATGTGAGCAATTCCTCTAGGAAATAAAGACTTGGCTCATTTGGCACGACATCCATCACTGATTTTTCAAAACGGACCTCCCTGGCTGGCAGGATGGCTTAAAAGAAATAAATGTAGCAACTGCTAATGTAAATGGTCCCAAAGAGCTTTTGTTTTTCTTGACTGGGAAAGTTTTTCTGGCTGATGGGGATTAACGTAGTCATTCCTCACATCTCCCACACTCTCCCTCACCAGACTGGTGTTCTTTCCCTTCCGGTATTTGACTGATGTGGCTGCTGACACTGCTTCTCCTAGGCTGCCTCCCCCTTGCAGTTGGTCTGTGTAAAGTCCGGTCCCTATGAAACTGGGGCAAAAAATGGTGGTGGTAAAGTCAGTTCAGTGAAAATTTAGTTTTGTCATTAAAAACAAATCAAAACAGCCCTGGCCGGTTTGGCTCAGCGGTTAGAGCGTCGGCCTGCAGTCCAGAGAGACCCGGGTTTGGTTCCCACTAAGGGCACATACCTCAGTTGCATTTTGTCCCTGGCCCTGGTTGGGTCGTGCGGGTGGCAGCCACTCGATGTGTCCCTTTCACATCAATGTCTCTCTCTCTCTCTCTCTCTCTCTCGCTCTTTCTCCCCCCCTCCACTCTATCTGAACAAAAAAAAAGAAAGAAAAGAAAAGAAAAGAAAACATCAATGGATGGGTTAAACAAACAATTAGAAAAGTAGGAAAGGAGATAAATCTGAAGAAGTTATAATTATGTAGCCCAGAGAAACTATGGCATTGAAAATATGAGATTAAGACACATGGAGGATAGTGAAAGAAAGTCCAACATACATCTCATAGGCGTTTCAGAAAGAGATCATTGGAAGAATAGAGGTGAGGCACTATGCAAAGAAAAAAAGGGTGAACATTTCCCAAAATATAGAGAAGTAATAACAATGGTGAATTTGTAAGGTTAAAAACAGACATAGCGTCGCCCTGGCCGGTTTGGCTCAGCGGTTAGAGCGTCGGCCTGCGGTCCGGAGAGACCCGGGTTCGGTTCCTGCTAAGGGCGCGTACCTCGGTTGCAGTTTGTCCCCGGCCCTGGTTGGTGGTGCGGGTGGCAGCCACTCGATGTGTCCCTTCACGTCGATGTTTCTGTCTCTCTCTCCCTTCCTCTCTCTCCCTCCCACTCTATCTGTACAAAAAAATGGAAAAATATCCTCGGGTGAGGATACAAAAAAAAACAAAAAACCAGACATAGCGTCAACTATAATTGAAAATTTTTTTGAATGATTTAAATTAAAAGAAAAAAAATTTAATCCTCACCTGAGGATATTTCTCCATTTATTTTCAGACAGAATGGGAGGGAAGGAGGGAGGGAGAGAAAGACACATCAATGTGAGAGACACATCAATTGGTTGTCTCCCGCACGACCCTGACCAGGGCCAGGGATGAATCGAAACTGAGGTACGTGCCCTTGACCAGAATCAAACCCAGAACTCATTGGTCCATGGGCCGATGCTCTAACCACTGAGCAAAACCCGCCAGGGCAAAATTTTAAAAATTCAAATAAAAAAACCGACATAGAACTAAAATACTGGACAACAATAACACATGAGCTAGAAATAGAGCGTTGACATCAACAAGATGACAATATAATGTTGAGCTTTAGACTTTGATAAGGATGAATGTTAAAAGTTTAAGGTAACTGCTGAAAAAGAAATGTCCAATTATAGAAACAATCTATAATTCTGTATTAGTTGAGGTAAATAATGATAGCTTCTCTAACAGATCAAATACAAAATCTCAATGACGTCATACAATCAAAGTATATTTCCTGCTTATATCAGAATGTACAGAACAGTACAGTCAGGGACCAGGGAGGGGCTCTACTTCACTCAGGCAGTTAGGGAACCCATACTTCTCCAATGGTCATTTTTTTTTTTTTTTTAATCCTCACCCGAGGACACTTTTCCATTTTTTGTACAGATAGAGTGGGAGGGAGAGGAAGAGAGAGAGAGAGAAACATCGACGTGAAAGAGACACATCGAGTGGCTGCCACCCGCACGACCAACCAGGGCCAGGGACAAACTGCAACCGAGGTACATGCCCTTAGCGGGAACCGAACCCGGGTCTCTGCGGACCGCAGGCCGACACTCTAACCGCTGAGCCAAACCGGCCAGGGCCAGAGATTTGTTTTTATATAGTCAAACGTATCAAACTTTCTTTTATGGATTTTTGTTTTGTTATTCTTAGAAAGTCCTTCCCTGTGCCAAGATTGTAGAAATGTTCACCCGTATTTATTCCTAGTGAATTATGTTTTCAGTTTTTACGTTTTGACCCTTGACCCATCTGAAATGTATTTTGATATAAAGAGCATGATTTCCTCCTGGCTGTCTTGCCAGTTGTTCCAACCAATCACTGAATAATTCATGTTTGTCCACTGATCTGAAGTGCCACTTGATCGCTTCTCACTTCCATCGGTACCCATGTCCTCTTCTAGACTTTGTTTTTATTATTATTATTTCTTTAATTAACTAATTAATTTTTGTTAAAGATGTTCCTCCTTTCCCCCTCACTGATTCCCCCCTCCCTCTCCCTCCCTGCCCTGTCCCCAGTTTGTTGTCCATGTCCATTGTTCATGCATACATGCATATAAGTTCTGTGGTTTATCTCTCCCCCACCACCCCCTCTTCTGGGGATTGTCAGTCTGTACCCCACTTCCACGTCTCTGGGACTACCCCATTCCTCAGACTGTTATGTTCATTATATTCCACAAATAAGTGAGATCATATGATACTTGTCTTTCTCTGTTTGGCTTGTTTCGCTTAGGATAATACTCTCCAGGTCCCTCCATGTCGTCTCAAAGGATAAGAGATCTTTCTTTCTTACAGCTGCATAGTACTCCATTGTGTATATGTACCACAGCTTTTTTATCCATTTGTCTACTGATGGACACTTGGGCTGTTTCCAGATCTTAGCTATTGTAAATAGTGCAAATTTTTTTTTCTTTATTGATTTTAGAGAGAAAGGAAAGGACAGGGAGAGATGTGAGACAGAAACATCGATGAGAAAGAACATCGATTGGCCGCCTCCTGCATGCCTCCCACTGGGGATCGGGCCCACAACCTGGGCATGTGCCCTGGCCAGAAATTGAACCTGCAACCTCTTGGTACATGGGTTGTCACCCAACCACGGAGCCACACCAGCCAGGCCAAGATATTGAAGCTTTACACTGTGTTGAGTCTTTATAGCACAGTGGTTAAGAGCGTCAACTCTGAAACAGGTCGCCTAGGTTCCTGTCTCGGCTCTCCCCTTACCTCAATCCCAAGTGTGTTAACCACGAAGTCTACTAGCCAGACTATCTGCCTGCCAGCCGGTGACCTCACTCCCCACCACAAGGTCAATTCTGCCTGGCAACCTGTGACCCCAGGGACCCTCCCCCAAAGAGTAAACTTGGAGAGAAGATGCTCCCAAGAGTCGGGCATGATAGGGTGGGAAGGGGTGAGAAGAGGCGAACTGAGCTGCTCACCTGAGCACACAGCTCATCAGGTTTCACAGCTCTGGGAAACCGTGGGGAAGGCAGCACCCTTTGGAGAGATGAGCCAGGAGGCCGCTAGCCAACCGCGGGACCGAGCCCAGACTGTGAACAAACAGGGCCGGGGTCTGGGCTGGGGGTCTGGAGGGGGCACCTCAGCTGTGAGCATCCTTAGGTGAATTGCATAAATCGCCTTCCTGCTGCAGCGAAATATTCAAACTGCCTCTGGCCTCCAAAGCAGTGGCTTCCGCGGACCCTCGGACCCTCGGGCCCTCGAACCCTCGGGCCCTCGTCTCGCGCGCAGCACCCCCTCCCCCGCAAGTGCCTGCAGAAGCCACCGGTCTTTAGACTCGCGCCACAGTGGCGGGTAAAGCGGGGGCTGCAGTAGTCGTGGCCCCCAGCTCCTGACCTCTCTGGGACCCAGGCGTCTGTTCTCCCGGCCAGCACCCCTCCACCTCTGGACCCGGACCTCCGAGGCTCCCCTCCCATCTCCCTTTTCACGAATTTAGGGACCCAGACGCGCTGAGTCTGGGAGGGGAGGGCCGGGTGGTAAAGGCCAGCGGGTGGAGCAGAAGTCTGGTGGCGCATCTCCCCCCCAGCTGCCCCGTCCCCCTCCGGTCTCCCTCCCACCGAAGTCGCGGATGGGCCGGCCCTGCGGACGCCGTCCTCCCAGCAGATGACCCAGCGGAGGCGGGTGGGGCTGGACGTCTAGGCGCGTCCTTCCCTGGGACTCTCCCCTCGCGGTCAGGGTCTTAGCCAGCCTCCAAGCAGGTCGTCGCTTCTTCCAGTGCCCCAGGGCCTGGCGCAAATCGGCTGAGCAGGGGACAGAAAGACCGAGTGCGCAGATCCAGCCGGCACCCGACTGGCGACAAGGCCATTGGCCCAGGCGGTGCCCCTGGGCGGACAGCTCCCGGGGGCAGCAGAGTGAATTGCAGGTACAAGGTCTTGAGAGGGTGACAAGGGGGTGCCTGAAGGCGGGGTGAGAGGTGGGAGTGGGACCCGCAGCAGGAGCCGATCAGGAAGGGCCCTGGGGGCTTGACTAAGGGCCGGCAGGCCCCCCGGGAAGGTCTAAGCAAACGATCGACTCATTCAGGTTTATATGACTCTGGAATATTAAGTAGTCATTATATATATATAAATATATATATATACACACACACACACACACACACACACACGCACACACACACCACTCATATGACCCAACCAGGGCCTGGGACAAACTGCAACCAAGGTACCTGCCCTTAGCGGGAACCGAACCCGGGGCTCTCTGGACCGCAGGTCGACGCTCTAACCGCTGAGCCAAACCGGCCAGGGCCATTAAAATATTTTTAAAGAATTCTTTATTACATAGAAAAATATAATATCACGAAATATATGTACATATATCTCTCAATTTGTAAGAAATACACACACGTTTATATATTAATATATATATACTATATGTTATATTTAACAATTTTGTCAGTATATAATAT